AAGGGGATGGATCTGACTCATTTCGCCAATCCATCATATTTTTTGTTCATCTCAGTTGAAAATACTTTGATTCAATTTTGTATTGTTTGGTTGAATCTTCTTATTTATGCTTAGAACTGCAATTCATCAGTCTCTCTCTCTAAATTGGAATATGTGAATCCAGTATGGACTAACTCGATATTGTCTTAAATCACAAGCTTCATAAGTAAAGATGGTCGTTAGCTAGCAGTGGAATGCAGGATGTACTTTTTGTCTTATTTGGGATTCGTCAGCTCAATGTACATGCATCTTTGTTTATAAAGTTTGTGATTTAAGTCATTATCGACACAATGCGAACAGTATGCACATATGCCAATAAGAGACTGATCAATTGCAGTCCTAAATAAGAAGAAGAAGATAAAAGTAAACAACACCAAATGAATTTTAAACTAATAAAGTTATTAAAAAGCCATGAGTATCGTATAAATTATTACAATGGAAATATACTACTTATAAACTACTTTAATCATCTTTTATCCACCTACTCTTATTTAATATATGAATATAAGAATATTAGTTTCATTTGGGTTATTGATTATTGGAATTCATTGAGATATAAATAGAATGTAAGAATATAAAACACAATTAGTTTCTAATTATAATTTCATTAACGATGTATGGGTGAATGGATTGTTCATTTCTTAACTTTAGACACAGTTACAGCTTATACAATTATAATTGAATTTAGCATATATGTAATACATTTGTTAGGACTCATTTAGATAAGTGGGGAAAAAAAGTGATGGTGTTTGAAGTGAACGATACTGAATTCGAGTCTTGGATTGAAGATCAACTCTGTGATGTGACGAGTTTCAAATAGGACGAAACGTGTGTTCTGGATTCCATTGTTAACGACTATGCATCTTTGCTTAGAATGCTTGTGAATTGAGACAATATCGAGGCATTACTCACAATATGCACATATGTCTATAAGAGAAACAGATTGATCAATTGCAGTCCTAAATAAGAATGGAAGATACAAATAAACAACACCAAGTGAATTTATGTAATACTTAGTTTAGTTTCCAAAATGATGTAATAAGTAAAGAAATAGTCAAAAACAGCATAGACATATATTTGGTCAATCGTATACTACTACTTATTGAAATAAGGAGTATATAAATCTATGGGTGCATTTTTTAAAAATATTCTGCGCATTTTATTTAGACATTAACACCGTTGGATGCTGGTTCAGTGGTTTAAGGGTTAAGCGTTCACGTGTGAGATCGAAGATCTTGAGTTCGAGTTCTGCATATGGGATCGTAGATACACACTGTTGAGGATTCGCGTACTGGGACGAAACGACCGTTCAGTGATTCTAGGTTTTCTATGGTGGTTTAAAATCAATCCATTCATGATATCAATCTTCCCTGTTTTTTATCTGTGACTAGATGAATTTAGAATAAATACTTAGTTTTACAGTCTTCATAGAGATATTGTTCAGTTAAAAGGTTTCTATTGTAATAGAGTATGTTAATTATGTTACCAAATTTATGAACTATGTAAAGACTATTCTATTAAATGTAAGCAATGATAGATAGTGGCTAGCAGTGGAATCCAGGACGTGCGCTTCGTCCCATTCGGGACGCGTCAGCTGGATGTACCTGCATCTCAGAGTTGATATTCGCTCTGGGACTCGGACCCAGTACCATTCGCTTCAAATGCCATCGCGTTATCCACTTAGCTACTAAGCCCACTGCTAACCACTTTCCATCATTACTTACAAAAGAAGCTTGTAAATTAAGACAATATCAAGGCATACGCACAGTATGCACATATGCCGATAACAGACTGATCAATTGCAGTCTTAAACCTCAATGGGAAGATACAAGCCAAATAATACCAAATGCATTCTATTAAATGTTTGGTAAAGAATCATTTAAAATATAATACCATCATGGATAGGTTGCTCACTCTTGACATGAATGAATTTCACTGGTTATGACTTATCGATTCAACTTAGAAAATAGCTCTCGAATTTAATAACCAATATGCAAGTGATGAGACATTAAATAAAGTTAATTATCTATTTGAGAAGTTTGAGAGTTCTAGGTTGCATTCTTGTAAGAGCTGTGATTGTATACTACTGAGTAATTGTATATTTGAACAAAACATCAATCTTATGTTTACCGGTCTTCAATAATTATATAGCATAATTGAGAAAAGAAAGAGTTGGATGCTGGTTGAGTGATATAGATGTTGCGAGTTTGAGAGCGAGACCGAAGATAATAGGTTCGAGTCCCACGTCCGGGATCGTGGATGGAGGAGTTCCATGCTAAAACCAAACGGCCATCCAAGGCATCTGAGATTTCAATGGTGGTCTAGCACCGATCGATTCATGATTTCAATGAAAAATAAAGGAAACGTACCATTAAATTTTTATAAAGATAATCTTATTGAAAAATTGGATTACACATTTCATTCAATACAAAACTTATCTCTGTAATATCTTGTGGCCTTATCCCCTATTAATATATAACTTAATGATACCACCAATTAAAGAACAATGATTTATGGAACGCATCAATGACACATAAACTCATACGAGCAGTTTAAAGCCCTTATCAGTCTTGCTTCCTGCTTATCCCTGCCTGTTAAGTTCAGAACACCAATCTCAGCCTCCGCGATATGAATCATGTATTTCAAACATACCGAGTTTATATGCCAACCAAACAGACCACATCACACCACAAAATAGGGAATAACATTCGTACAAGGTCTAGCCGAAAATAACTGTGATTGTGGGAGTCTGTCATTAATAGACTGATAGATCTTGGGTTCGAATCATGCGACGTCGGTTCATGGATGCGCACTGCTGAGGAGGAGTCCAACAATAGGACGAATCGTTTGTTCAATGCTTCCAGGTTTTCCATAATGGTCTAGTTTCAATCGACTCATGATCTGAACTATAGAAAATCTTATTTGTTTGATGTTGTCATGGTAGTTAATTTATACAAATAATTGCAGAAATCGGTATTTAATTTAATTGTAACTAATATAAATCAAACTATAAATTTAAACAAAACAAACTAAAAAAAAGAGTAAACAATGAAGAAGAAAAAAAGAAGAATAACAATGAAGAAATCAGTAAAGATTCCTGTAACGTATTCTACTTTGAACTTCACTCAAAACAACTTTTATTTCAAAGGAGAAAATCACATGGATCCTTTTTGTAGATCCAAATAAACAATCATTTTGTTGATGGATTGTCATGTAAACAAGACTACTAAATATAGAACTGACTTAATTGTAACGTGATTAACTAATTACTTGACAAATACAGATATAATTTCAATGGTTGAGATCATGAGTCAATTGAAGCTAGATAACCATGGAAAAACTTGGAGCACCGGATGGGCGTTTTGTTCTATTGTGAAACTCCTCTTTGTCAGTGCGCATCCATGACCCCCACCTCGTGAGATTCGAATCCAGGATCTATCAGTTTTGTGAACGAGCGCTTAACCACGAAACAGTGAGCCAGCTGGCAACTAATCTACGCGATTGAGTGACCTATCCACCATTGTCTTCAGTGAGTTACTCTCTCACAACTGACCTGGTTGAACTCCACTGGTCACTGCTTCTCACTAGAACTCCAGGAAATACCTCTTGAAGCTAGTCACTAGTGAGCATATGTTGATAAATATCAGAAGGGTTTTTTTATGGATATTATAGTAATTTCAATAGTTGAGATCATGAGTCGATTGGAACTATAATATTGTAGTGAATGAGAATACAAATGAGGATAATCGAATGTATTTGATGATGTATACTACTTATATCTGTTGACATCAATAATTCACGCCATAGTATATATTCAGTATCATTTACTTCAATGAATAAATTGATCTGTTATGTTTAGCATAGTCCATTTTAATGTAGTAATGTATTTAGTTCGATTCCTGAAGTGATCAACTCCGAAATGTAGTTATATCCAGTTGACGAGTCACAAATAAAAAGAAACGCATGTCAAATTGGGTTCCATTACTAATTACTATTCATCTTTGTTTAAAAAGCTTGTGACTTAAAATAATATCAAGACAAACTATATAGGATAGATATATGCCTATAATAGAGAGAGATTGATCAATTATAATCCTTAACAACAATAGGAAGATACAAGCAACATAATTATTATTATTATTATTCAATATTATATACTTGGTTTAATATAGAATTCACAGTACAAAATGTTTCATTGAGTTTCTATTACTTATTTCTTGATCGATCCTATTGGTAAATATTAAATAATCACTAGTTGAATGTTACCAATTCAGGAATTGATATCTGAATAAAATACACACTTTTCGATGTATATTATCAGTAATCATGATATCTTTGATTGAACTCTTTTGTAAATTATACAACGAAATGTTGTACATTTCTTAGAAACACAATTGAATCCGTTAACCGATTAATAACCATGATTGATTGATTTAGTTGCCAAGATCATGTAATCAACAAATATTCAAAATAGGCCGCCAATATCAAGTTTTGAAAAAAAATAGAAAAGAAAAAAACTATTTCTACACCATATGATCATCTAAATTAAGAGAGAGAGAGAGAGAGAGAAAGAGAAAGAGAGGGAGGGAGGGAGAGAATAGGAACGTGGTACAATATAATTCATGCAAAATACTTTGATTTTTTTTTGTGTGTTTCTTTTTGTTGGAAATAAAACTAAATCCATGTGAATTATACTTGATCCGATCACATTACATTTTTCTGAAAAAAAAAATTCTTTCGGTTGTTGTTGTTGTTTTTTTTTTTCTTACCGACAAAATCAACTGCCTTAATTTAGTAGTATAGAAAAGATAAACTGAAATTGATCTACTTTCTCCTCCCTACCTCCCTCCCTCCCTCCTCTCTCTCTCTTTCACTCTTCCATTTGTTTATTGTTACTATGATTATTATCATTGTAAACAGTGAATTGACAACAATTGAATGACATTCATATCCGAGTATCATGTGATCAATAGATTTTTGTTGTTGTACAGATCAACTTAATCATTAATTGTAACTTACTGATTAGTATATATAATATATATACAACTATAATGTGTTATTTGCTTTCATTGTTAACTTCCATACGATACATTCAGCGTAGATCAATTCACGAAGATTCTAAGAGGAAAGAAACCCATTTACTAAGATACACAAAACATGAACAGTGTTCCTTCGAAATTTATTTACATCTTTGCTATTATCTTATTATTTAGTCTTTATATTGAATATACAAGTAAGTTATTATTGGTTTTTATTTAATAGTTAAATTCATGAGTTGATTAAAATAACACTATCATGGAAAACTTGGAAGGATTGGATAGTTGTTTCGTTCTAGTATGGGACTTCTCAATCATGTACATTCATGATTCTGTACATGGGATTAGAAGACAGGATCTTTGATCTCGTATGTGAATGCTTAACCTCTAGATTACTGAGCTGATGATTTCAATCAATTCATAAAATTGCACTAACGTTTACTGTTGTCTTCAGTGAGTTATTATCTCACAATAGACCTGGTTGAAATCTATTGGTCACAGCTTTTCCTTAGAACTCCAGGAAATACCTCTTGTTTAGGAGTTCCATACTAGAACGAAACATCCATTCAATTGTTTAAGGTTTTTCATGTTGGTCTAGCTTTATTCATCTCGTAAAATTCAACTATTACAATTACTACAATCTCCACAAAATGTTCTTTCTGATATAAGATATAAAGAGAAGTAAAGTGTAAGCGGCAGATCAGTCCTTACTGATGGAAATGGAGTCAACTAGAAATGTCGAATAAAAGGAGACAAGAATAATAAAGAAAATAATAATGTGAAACCTTATCACTCTGAATAATGAACTAATATTATCAGGATAGATTTATGGTTGAAAACACTTCTACATGAAGCTTATGCTTCTGATGATGACATCATTCAGAAGAACAATGAAATCTTCAAGATCAAACCATCCATCTCAAAGAATAAAACTATTTTTAAAATACACAAAAAAAGGAGGGAGGGATTCGAAAACTTCACTACATTCTTTGTTTGACACTTTTGTATAACATTACAAAAATCAATTTAAGATCAATTTTATGATCTGTTTCCATTATGTATGTTTGACAATAGAGAATGTATTCAGCTAATATATCATTATATAGTTATGATCATCAAAGGAATTCACCAAGTAAAGTTTATCTTATCTCTTACAATGTTATTATCAATATATCTCTTATAGACGCTGGAAGTATCTTTGGTAGTGGTAAGTTGTAATGTGAAGCATTCTTTTTTAAAAAAAAATTATTTTAATGTTATGAAAATCTATGATAGTGATTAATCACTAGGCGGAAGACAACCAAAGTTATTTGTTATTAAATCGGTTATTTGAAGGTATATAATACATTGTCTTTTACATCAATTATGATTATGTTTCGTTTTCTGTTTTCTACAGTTCAATCTAGTCAACTTACTTTTGATAGGCATTTGACTTCTGATCGGTATTACATATAACTTATATCTGATAACGTCGGTAGCACACACCACACTTGTTCCCTCTTTAAATTAGCTGTTCTTGTGGTGGTGCTGATCGTCATGCCACTTTCTTCTTTTATATAGTCTGCGTCACACTCTTCGTCAAATTGTGGTGCATTGGCCTACATAACTACATCGACTTGTTGGGTCATCAAAATCCGACGTACACCCATCACCTGGGATGTTCAACGTTTGTGTACCAGAAACCTGGTTAGCCATCTACATCAAATGTCTGCCCAGCAGCTGCACACCCCACCGCTTCTCTCCGTCTACAGCACCCATAACAGAAAACGCCATCTCTCTCGAACACTCCCTTCGACGTTATTATACCGCACCAGATCGCTCCAACTGGCACCTCAGCTCCAGCCCGGCAGCGACATCAAATGTAGTGAACGAGAACACAAGTGTGGATAATTGAATGCATTTCAACACAAAATTATAGAATCTATTAGAAAAATCTCAGAACCATACAGTAAATACTTCATTTGCAAAATGTCCGTCAATCATCTTGAACTTAAGTATTCCTTCATTTCCACACTAATCACTCTTTGTGTTCTCGTTCTCTTTTCTTCCATCTTCTTAACCATATTCCACCAGACATTTCGCTTTCAATTGATGATACATACTACTTATATCTATCAATATCAGTTGCACATACCATATCTTCACATCATATTTTCTGGAATCCTTGAATAGATTAATCTTGAATCTACTAATAATATCTGATAAGATTTAATGACTAATATGTGATTATATTGTTTCCTTCTTAAAAAAAGACACACCTAACTCAAGTGAGTTTTATTATTATTTTTTATGTGACAATGTTTTCCAACAGATAAGTTACAACTTATCATCATATCAAGTTGTATCATTCAAAACAGTCTATAATCCTTCATTCTTTTATATTAGAATGTCCATTATCTTAAGTTTCCTTAACTACTGAAATTCAACATTCAATACTACTAATAATACAGACTACTTATTTTTGCTTATGAGAAACATTTAACGGGCTACCAGGTTGGATAGCTTGAATATAACTAACATTTTACAACTAATTGATTCTTTCTCAAACTGTAAATTTACTGTTTTTATGTTCAGCAGCTACGACAATGAGTAAGTGTTTTTGTTCTTGTTTCTGTTCATTGTTGATAAATTTTCAGTATGACGCAACCAAAACCACAATAAAACCGTTGAAGTTGTAGTCTATCATCTAGCATAAATGGGTAATTGGATCACGGTGCTACACTATGTCACCATGAAATGATGAAATTATTGAGATAAATTTATATTTCATAGGTTAAGATCATGAGTCGTTTGAACCTAAACCACTATGGAAGCACTGGACGGCCGTTTCGTCCTATTGTGGGACTCCTCAGCAGTGCGCATCCACGACATCGCCCCCTACGAGATTTGAACCCGCAAAACCCGTCTGATATAAATTTATATGTTTAAATTATAGAATCTCTTGCTAAAATATAAGAACCATACACTGAATGACTTCATTAGGAAAATTCCATCATTCGTCTTTCACATTCTATATAATTCTTCCAAGTCTTAATTCCTTCGTATATTGGTTTCTGTTTTCTTCAAGTCGACCTTTATAGCTTTCTTCTGTCAAGTTTTCCACTTCCGATTGATATTACATACTACTTATGTCTGTCGGCATAAGTAGTACAAGCCATGAACTTATTTATCATTCATAATTGACTTATATTGAAATACCTAATTGTTTGTAATAAATGTTCATTTATTTTTTTGGTTTAAATATCACTTTCACTATGATAATTAGCTTAGAATGATTACAGTTAAACGTAAATGATCCCATAATGGCATTTTGCATATTACTGTCAATGTGTTTTCAAAAACTTCATTTGCTTAAGAAAACGTATAATCAGTAACTTGAATACTTTTTTTATATATACTTGCTTAGTTACTTACGCCTATCAGCCCTCATAGAGAAGCATAGGCTGCCCAACAATCATTCTCTATCCAACTCTGTCCTCGACAATCATTTCCAAGTTGCTATGTCTGTATCCGATTCTCGACGTAGTGTGTTCTTCAGCTTTCCTCTTTTTAGTTTCCATTCAGGATTCCAAGTTAACGCTTGACTCATGATACAGCTTGGTGATTTCCGTAATGCATATCCTATTCACTTCTAATATCTTTTTCTGATTTCCTCCAAAGTTGGAAGCTGGCTTGTCCTCTCCCACTCTAATATATAACCGACAGTTATATAGCGTTTTTTAGCGCGTTAGTTTTCTACTGGATGGGGTGGCTAACTCCATGCTCAACCCTCCTCCTTTATCCGGGTTTGGGACTGGCAGTAGCCTCCGGAAGGACTCCAGGCAGAGTTCGACAGTTATATAACATTACTTTAATAAGTAATAATTTTGACGGTTTCTGTCAATAAAATCTTGTAGTTCTATTTAACTCTGATAATATCTGAAATGTTTTTTTGTTATTTCCATTTTCTGTTGAATTATTTGAAATAAGAACCAACTAGTGAGTATAATTACGGAGTTTTCTGATTAGTTTAAAAGATTCATTTGTAATCCATGTAAACATGTAATACTTACTTACCTACTTATCTTACATTGGTATAAAGTGGTACCAAACAGATATGCGCCACACTTTGTCACTCAATTTATTTAAGAGATGGGATACAGTTCAAGTGCCCAAACCGAAGCAGGTGGTTTTATTAGGAGGCCACTCTTTAAGAAGATGCAACCCCATGGTAGATGGTGACCAACAATAGATTCATACACCATTTGTTCCCTCAGAATTCTGGAGACTATTTGCACCATTGGTTTGGAATGATGGATTTTCAACTCCCCTAGATGGATCCGCTGTATCAAGCTAATACGGTTAAAGCACCGGGTGTTCACTGTTCGTCCTCTCAATTTTGTAAACACAACCCCCATAATGAGAATATAGTGATTAGGACTGCCCTGACAGTGGCTGTATACTCGTGGAAAGTTACAAAGGGAATTATTTGTATGAAAGATACATTTTAGTTATAAAGGCACAGTGTAGTATAGGAGGATATACATGAGGAGATTTTGTGGATATTATAGTATTTAATAGCTGAATTCATGAATAAATTAAAGCTAGACAACCATGGAAAACATGAAATGCACACTGTTGAGGAGTCCTATACTAGGACGAAACGGTTGTCCAGTGCTTCCAGATTTTCCATGATAATTGACTCATGAATTCGGTTATTAAGTTATTCATTGAAAGGAAATCATTCAAATATAACATCATAAGAGCTTCTACTCAACAATGTTAATCATATTTTTTTCCGGAATTCGTCTAGATACAACAGGAAGCATATTTTCTTGCTTTATTACTTTAGTACTTACTCCTCGTGGAAGAGTACTTACTATCAACTAAATGAATTTACGTTAAGTGGGCAGCCTGTGCTCCATCATGAGGAGTAACAAGCGTAAGTAAGCAAGTAAATAAGTAAGTAAGTAATACAAAGTAATCGTATTATGAAACTAATTGATTTTATTATCTATAAAATACTTCTTTAAAGCAACAAGTAAACCTTCGTCTGGTGAGTTAACTTCTGCATGTATTCTACCAAAATGCGTTTTGTTTCTATTTTCATTCAGTATAAATTAGAACACACAAAAGAGCATATGCTCACTAGTAACTGGCTTCAAGAAGTATATCCTGGAGTTCTAGTGAAAAGCAGTGAAGAGTGAAGTTCAACCGGGTCTGTTGTGAGATAGTAACTCACTGAAAACAGTAGTGGACGTGTCTGTCAACTTCGTGGATTAGATGAAGTTAGACATTAACACTGCTAGATGCCAGTACGCTCAGTGGTCTAAAGGTTAAGCGTTTGTCCGCGAGACCAATAGATCCTGTGTTTCAATCCCGCGAGGCGGAATCGTGGATGCGCACTACCAGGGAGGAGTCCCACAATAGGACGAAACTACCGTTCATTACTTCTAGGTTTTCCATAGTGTTCTATCTAAGGTTGACTCATGATCTCAACTATTGCAATCACATAAAAGAGAGTTCCTTAATAGAATCAAAACAAATAGTGAAGTAAAATATAGATGAACGTATATTACTTTAGTTTTACCACTGATGAAAGATGTTGAAACAAACTGAAAATAAAATGAATGGGTATTTTTGTAGATTGATCTTATTTGTATGTTGTACTCACTAGAGATTGATCTTAGTCGAAGTAAAATTAGAAAGCAGAGATCAGTGAACAGCCATTTTGTCTTAAGATAAGACTATAAAGGAGTGCTTACCAAGAGTACTCATACAAATCGTAACCAGGCAATTGATGCCATTATAACCATTGGATCATCTTTACTCGATACTTTCACTTTCCGACTTATCCAAACTCCATTAGTCAGAAATTCTAACCATAACCTGAAGAATATTTCTAATTAAGTCAATGATACTCTAATAAAGATAGTTTAACTGAAGGAATATTATGAGATCAGTCCACCTGAATGATCATTCAGATGTACCAGCAAGAGTTCCATATTACAATCGAATAGATATCTTGTGTTCTCTACTATTCATTCACTAGAACCTTATCTAAGATTAATCTTCAACTATTATAATTGATAATAATTTTAAATATTCTAAACAATCGTTAACTTATCATGTTTAATTATTATTTTTAGGTGCTACAATGGAGAAGGCATATTACACTGTAATCGGTTCTGTTCTGATTGCAATTACAGTATGCCGATATTCAATCTAATAATATTATGTTTCAAAATGAGAAAATGATAACGATGATAGTGATGAAGATTAATAACCATTTGTAAACATTATAATTCATTAGAACTGTTACTTTTCATTGATGATTCATGAAATATGTTTTGATTTGATAATACTAATCTTTTATGAATTAAATCTATTTTAGTTTGATGATCATTATCAATCATTTTACATTTCTATACAACCTTTCATTGTATGATGACATTCTATATTAGTAGACTGCGTGTTCTGATCATGTTGAGCTAAGCATTGGTCCCTAAATGCCCTGATATGGCCGAGAGGGAAGAGAATTCACGGCGAGACTATAATTTATAGACGAAACAATCAGATATAAGATAAAAGGTCTTATATTTAGACTTGGAATCGATTCATCCATTTGGTAAAAGAACGTTTTTGACATTTTAGCTAATATCAGTTCGTGATGAAAACCATAAAACTAATTCCTAACCCTTAACACTTAACAGTAAATCATAATTCTAGTTCCTCACCATTGTTTAGAACCCTTCTTGGTCCAAGTTAGTATGTGAATATTCTCAAGTCGTCGATAAATAATAGTCTCACTGAGTCCTCCGTCCCCGTTGAAATGCTCTCACATCGTCACGGGTATACAGCCACTTGCAAGGAAGTCCTACTCACCACCTTATCGTGTTGGGGGTGTTGCTTACGAAATTGAGAGGAAGAAAAGCAAATATCCGGTGATTTACCCAGGTTGGTCAATGCAGAGGATCGATCTAAAGGAGTTGAAAAACCATCATTCCAAACCACGAGTGTACATGAACTTAAGGATTCTGAACAAATAAATAGCGTATGAACCTATTGTTGGTTACCGGTTACCATAACAATGCATTTCTTTACGTTGCCTACAGTTATAATCTCCTTTCTGTTTAATTTTAAAACCTATTAAAGAAATGGTAGATATACATAATTAGATATCATAGTTTTTTTATCTATGACCGATACTGTAAGCAATTCATTAACATATTAGGATGACATTCAATGTGTTAAACATCAGTTTTGTTGAAGGATGATTCCCGCTTCTTTTACGAACAAAAAGAGCAACACTTGAGTAGATAAAGAATATAAACTTTCCATGACAACATTATATATAGTCTCATATTGACACACTTTATCCAAATCACTATTGAAAAGTGACATAATTGTGTAATGTCAGCCAATTGAATACGTACAATCCATTTGATTAATTCCCTACAAACTACCGTTAAATATATTCAGTTTGACTAATGCATACAGTTGTGAATACATACAGATTTTTCAAATTACTTTTATAAGAACACGTTCTTTTTTTATTAAACATTTACAAAAGGTTAATTAATTACTTACTTATTTACGCTTGTTACCCCACAATGGAGCATAGGCCACTGACCAGCATTCTTCAATCCACTCTGTCCTCGGCTCTCCTTTCTAGTTCTATCCAATTTTTGTTCATTCTTCTCATGTCTGTCTCCATTTCTCGGAGTAATGTGTTCTTTGGTCTTCCTCTTCTACTTTAGCATTGAAGACTCAATGTGTGGGGTTGCATTGTGACTCAGTTGAATGGTTTCCTCGATGTGTGTTCTGTTCACTACCAGCACTTTTTGATGATCTCCTCCTTCACTCGAATCTGATTTGTTCTCTCCCATAGTAGGTTGTTACTGATAGTATTTGGCTAATGGATCCAAAGTATTTTGCATAAACTACCGTTGATGGTTTTCATAGTTCTCTAAGTTTCCTCCCCATACAGTCGAGCTGTCTTGATATTTGTATTGAAACTTCTGACTTTGGTATTGGTTGACAGACAATTGTTTTGACTTCCAGATGTTCTTCGATTGTAGATATGCTGTTGCTCTTGATTTGCCATATTTTTAAGCAATATTTACAAATCTGTGAAACAGATCACTAAAGGTAACATTTAATAAATCCATAGGCTAAAGATAATGTGAATGCAATTGTTATGGATGAAGAGGATTATACCAATCATTATCATGTTAAGTCTAATGATTTCCTTGGAGTTTAAATGGACATTTCCAATTGGTCGATATTTGTTCACTTGTGGAATATTGTACAAAATGTTGTTATCTATTTTATGGTACGATGTGGTATGCTTGATTGGTATATAAGCAGAGTGTGTTTGAAATATAACGATTCATAACTCAGAGGCTAAGACTTGTGTTCTGCACTCAACTGGCTGGGCTAGACAGGAAAGCAGGGCCAATCGGAACTCTAGGTCGTCCGTACGTCTTCTCCGTGTCACTGTAGTCGATCGATAAAACGCTCCACGCTAATCTGTAGTCTCGCGTCACAACAGCAATACTGTTAGATTCGTTAAGCTTGAATGCTCTACTACTGATTCGAATTATTCGGAACGGAACAAAGAATCAAGGATTCAGAGAGTCGGCAGGCTATTCTGATCCGTTGTCCTCGACTAAGCTAACTCGATCACGAAAGTCTTGGTAAAACGTAGAAGTGTATTCTACAGGCAACCAACAGATACCAGGTCAATCAAGCAGACAATCAAGCGTATTTATACAAATATTTATAATCGATATTGTTATGGTAAATTTTTTAAAAATATTAATCGATTAGTTCCTCAATTGACTACCATTCAAATATTTAAAAAATTAATCGATAAGTCGATCGATAAGATGAAATTACAAAATATGAGTTTTGGGGATCTATCATCCCCAACATATATAGACTCTATGAATAAACACATCAATAATGTCAATGAGTACTATTTATTATGGATCTAGCATAACTATCTAGAATAATTTAATATCCAGAAAAACCCTTCTTTGATTATAATCAACATATGCTCACTAGTGACTGTCTCCATGAAGAATTTCCTGGAGTTCTTGTGAGAAGCAGTGACCAGTGGAGTTCAACCGTGTCTGTTATTAGATAGTAACTCACTGAAGACAATGGTAGACAGTTGCGCCATTTCGTAGATCAATTGAAGTTAGACATTAACACCGTTGGATACCAACCGTCTCACTAATCTAGTGGTTAAGTGTTCGTGCACGAGTCCTGAGTTCGGGTCTCGCAAAGCAGGATCGTGTATGTTCACTACTGAGAGGTCCCATACTAGGATGAAACGCCCTTCAAGGTTTTCCATGTTGGCCTAGCTTCAATTCACTCATGAATTCAACTATTAAATTATTATAATATTCACGAAAACCCTTCTCTGATTATATCTAGTATAAGCTTTATTTATGAAAGAGTTCAAGTGAATTTATCCGATTTTTTGTAATTGTTGATATTTTAGTTGAAAGTATAGATCTCTTGTAAAATAATTGACGGAGTATATCGTTTATGGTGATTATGGTGGCTTACTTGTACATATCTGAATATCATCAATCTCATAGGTAAGGTCAAATTATTCAGCCTCAACAATCATTGAGATGCCTGTACATTCAACTTGCTAGTTTGAGTAACTGTGTATGGATAAATGATGACACACACCCATCTATAAAACAAATCATAAACAGAACAAAATACACAATCTGTAGTCCACTATCAATCACAATTCAAAGATATAATTCGATCGATTTGTCCAAGAACTATTCACAACAACTTCTATTTCTATTACTTACTTATTTAGGCCTGTCACTCTCAGTAAAGCATAGGCAGCCGATCAACATTCTCCAACCCACTTTGTTCTGAGCATTCTTTTCTAGTTTTGTTCAATTGTTGTTCACTCTCCTTATGTCTGTCTCCATTTCTCGCTGTAATATCTTCTTCACCTGAAGCCCCTATGGGGCTACTGCCGGTCCCAATTCCGGAAAGGGAGGAAAGTTGGGCATGAGGTTAATGACCCCATCCTGCATAAAATTAATTCGCCAAACAAACTGCTAACCAGAAAAGAATAATTCAAGCCATTTAAACTCTGCCCCGAGAGTTAGAACGTCTTCATTTAGAAGAGTTATGATGTGTCATGATAAAAGCCGAGTTCCTTATTTCATTACTTTACATTAAAACTGATGATCAAGTTCTTTTAAAAATGAAACTTACATGTTTAATCTAAATGATTGTAGTTTAAGTGTAAACGATAACGTTTGTTGTATGAAAGTTTAAACATAAACGTTTGGTTGATCAAATGTCTAGTTATCAAGTCAGTTCACAATTTGAAAATTGGATAGTACTGTATTTAGTGTTATTGTAGTGAACGAGAACAGCAGTAAGGGACAGTCAAATGTATTTCAAGACGAAATTACAGAATATCTTAATGAAATCTCAGAACCATACAGTAAATACTTCATTTGTAAAATGTCAATCAATCGTCTAAGACTTCATTGTTCCTTCATTTACACACCAAACATTCTCTGTTTTCATTTTCTTCTATTCGATCTTCTTAACCTTCTGCATTCAGGCATTTCACTTTCGACTGATGATATATACTACTTATATCTGTCCATTTCAGTAGCACACACCACACTTGTCCCCTCTTTAGAGCAGCTGTTCTTGCAGTGGCGCTGGTCGCCGCGCCACTTTTTTCTTTTATGCCGTCTGTACCAGACTCTCCGTCGAAATATCTAGTTTACAGCACGTTGACCTACATAGCTCCATCGACCTACCGGGCCATCAAAATCCGACGTACTCCAAGCATGTTCAATGTCTGTGCACCAACGACCTGACCAGCCATTTACATACATTGTCCGCCCATCAGCCACACGTCCCACTGCTGAGTGGATAACGCTATTCTGTTTGAAGCGAACGGTACTAAGTTCGAGTCCCAGAGTTAACATCAACTCAGATGCTGGCACATCCATCTGACGAGTCGCAATTAAGACGAAACGCGCGTCCTGGATTCCACTGCTAACCACTATCCATGTTTGTTCAGAATGCTTGTGAATATCGATGAAATGTGCACATATGCCATTAAGAGAGAGATTGATCAATTGCAGTCCTAAACATCAATGAGAATATTCAAGTAAACAATACCAGGTTAATTTAAACAACTGATCAATGGTTGTAAATGTTTAAAAATGGGTTCGCTACTAGGACATATCAGTTGTAAAGTGCCTCCAAATGACCTGATACGACTGAGAGTGGTGAAAGTCAGCTCTCCGTTTCATGATGCTCTCACATGACCACGTGCATACAACCAGAGAAGTCCTAGTCATAGCTTTATCGAGGTGCCGGTGTTGTTTACGAAATTG